TTACTTCATGTAAAAATTCATCTACATTATGTGCAGAATTATTAAGACCTTTTAAGACTACATGAGTATCTGGATCTCGAATCCATATTTCATTTTCAATATCCCACTGTTTAATAAATCCGTCAATCCATATTGATTTAGAAATAGTCCCAAAACCTCCTTTATCAATATATTCAATATCTCCAAATCTATCAAAAGGGATCCACTCAATAACCTCTTCATGATTTTTTGCTTTAACCTGAATTTGACGAATAAATTGATTGATTTTTGGATTTTCACTTGTCCAATTAATAAAATCATGCTGAAATCTTTTTGAATTGCATGAATTACACCACTTAATTCCTGTGTTAGGCATATTACATTTGTTACAGACTCCATATTCTTGATCCAAATTTTCTAAAATTTCTTTAATCTCAATAAATTCTTTTTCTTCTAAATTTGTCATAATATCTTGATCTTCAACTAAGATCGTTAATTTATTGACTGAAACTGTCCTGCCTCCTCCACCAAAGCAATACAGCCTTTCAATTTGGTCAACAATATCATCACACTCGCTCTCAACCCAAATATCCCCTGAATTAAACCTAATCACTTGATAAATCTCTTCACGAGCTCTTAAAATCTTATAATTATCAGGATTTGTTTCCAATAATTTGTTTAAATATAAAATAGCTTCATTACACTTATTTAATGCTTTATAAGCATATATACAATGCGATAATGTAAAATTATCATTAGAATCTATCTCAAGTGATTTCTTGAGATCTGAAAGTGCATCATCATATTTCTTCAATGAATTATAAGTCGCACCTCGATAACTTAATGCAAAATCATTATTAGGATCTATCTCAAGTGATTTATTGAGATCTGAAAGTACTTCATCATATTTCTTCAATGAATTATAAGTCGCACCTCTAGAACTTAATGCAAAAACATCATTAGGACTAATTTTTAGCACCTTATTGAAATCTGAAAGTGCTTCATTATATTTTTCTAATATTCTATAAGTTTCTCCTCGTTCGACTAATGCAAAATAATCATCAGGTTTTAGTTCCAGCATCTTGTTGTAATCTTTAAGTGCTTCATCACATTTATTTAACTTTCTATGGCACCCACCACGATAAAATAATGCAAAAAATGTATCATTATCATTAGGATTAATTTCTAACATTTCGTTGAGATCTTTAAGTGCTTGATCATATTTATTCAAACCATAGTAAATTGCACCTCGAACACATAATGCAAAACTATTATCAGGAATAATTTCTAGCACTAAGTTGATGTCCGAAAGTGCTTCATCAAATTTTTTTAACATTCTATAAGTTTCTCCACGATGCGCTATAGCAAAAACACTGTTTGGTTTTATTTCGAGTGCTTTATTTAAGTCTGTAAGTGTTTTATCATACTGATGTAACTTTCTATAGGTTGTTCCCCGACAATTGATTGCTGAAACATTATTTGGATCAATGCTTAGAATTTTATTAAAATCATCAACAGCATCATTAAATGAATCCAAGGAATAATGAATCATTCCTTTAAAAAGAATTAGGTTTAGATTTATTGAATAATTTTCAATTAAACTGTTTAAAAATATAAGTGCATCTTCCGAACTTTTAAAACTTAGAAAATTAATAATGTTAGAAACTATTGTAGGTATATGGATTATTTTTTCCATAGCATCATTAAGATCACAGAGCTTAGATTCAAGACTTTTCGTTAAAGATTTTTCGGAAGCTTTAACTTCAACTTTGCTAAGATTAGATAGCATATGTTGATAACTCATTTTGTTCCGTGATAAATCGATGCTGTCTAATGAGGTGGTTAAATTCAACAATAAATTTTTATAGTTATGTGAATATAAGGTAAATGAAGGTATTATGACGCAGTTAATAAACTATTTATCGTATCTCGTGAATCATTGATCCAAATCGAATTATTTATATGCCATTCGATCATCTTATCAAGACAAATCGAATGGTACCGAAAACATCAACGAAGGCCACGAAATATTAACATTAGAATGTTGTACAAAGGGTATGACGGTGACGATATCTCGAGATCCAGTGAAAAGAATCGAATGATTTTCCCAATTTGATTTCTCTCATAGAGGAATCGATGGTGGTAAAATCATTCGATTCCTACTACTGGATCTCGAGATACCGCAGGTGCGCCATAATATCACGCAATTTTTATCACATGTTTCTATAATAAAATCATTTTATCTGTTTTGACAATAAAGGAAATTGTTTAGTAAAATAATATATAGACCGTTAATGTTACACATATATAAAACTGGTGAGGGATTATATCCATCACAATTGAACAGGCGAGAGGGATTCACTTTGGATTGGGCACTGTCTCCGCTGTATATATAGATACGGTAACCTTGAAAGAAATGAACTGACCTGCTGGCCTGATTACGGGTAACAAAATAGACTAAGCCAAGTGGTTTATTTGATTAATAATTAATTTGTAAATTAAAAATTACGTGTTATATAAAATTCTTCGAGGCTTAAAAGCAGGCTTCTAATTTTGATATTTAATTTTCTTATATATTTAAAGTGTACTGAAAATTTCCAACAATTTTAAGTTATAATCTATTCTAATTAATAATGGATGCAACTATCCATGTTGTTAATATTGTATCCGAGATTTTGGCTCTTTATTCCCCTATAGTCGGTACAATAAACATTATAGCAAAGGATATTTATAATATCTATGAGAATGCCGAAAGTAACAAACAAATTTGTTTGTTGATGGCTAATCGGGTATCTACAGCAGAGTATACCATAAATACGATGATGAGAAATATAGAGGGTAATGAAGAAAAATTTTGTAAGAAAGAGTATTATTTAGCCTTTGAAAGATTTAAAAATGCTTTGACAAATATCAAAAATTATACTAATAAAGTGTCAAAGTTCAGTCGGTATAAAAATTTTTTTAATGCAATAGAAGTTAAAAATAAATATCAAAAATTAGTTGAAGAATATGATGCATGTATGAGAGATCTTGGTATTGCCATAGCAATTTGTAGTGAAAATGAAAGAATTATTGAAACTAAGAGAGTCGATAAGGTTTTGGAAAACACTGAAAAAGTAAATATGAGTTGCTTACACACAAATATTTATGAAATTTATTTATATGTCATTATTATTATTGATTTACTACAGGCTCTTGAAAAACTCAATGACTCAAACCATAAACTTGAAGCATTAGCTAAATATATAGAAATTCTTAAACCTCAAATGAATAAACCATCCAATAAAATTAACGTAAACAAGATTAATCCAAATGAATTGAAAGTACCTGAAATTATAAGAGAAAATGATATTCGTGGTCATATTGTTAGAAGAATTTATAAAGAAACTGATGTCGCATGCAAACCCATCGAAAATCACAAAAATTTTGAACCTGAATTATCAATTCTTGAAAAATTACAATCAAAATACGTTCTCCAATTTTTCGGTCTCTCAAATGTTGATAATCATGAAGTTATGATCTTTGAATGGGTCGAATATGGAACGTTAATGGATATTTATAAAAATTATGATATTCCTTGGACTAGAAAAATTCAAATTATTAGAGATATCTGTCGTGGTATTGTATTTTTACGCAGAGTAAATATTTTTCATCATGATCTTAGATGTGAAAATATTTATGTAAGTATAATTATTTAACCCATGTATTTTACTTATCAAGAATTAATATTTTTTGCATTTAATTTTAGATATTACAGAATTTAGATCCAAAGATTGGAAATTTCAAATATGCACGTAAAATATGTGATAAAACTATAAATCTTGGAGATCTTGTATCACACACTGTTCGTTGGATGGCACCAGAACAGATTAAAAAGTATATAAAGTGTATTGATATGACACCAGAACAGATTGAGAAGTACATTAAACGACTTGACGAAAACGCAGGTTATACATTTAATTGTGAAATGTTCAGGTACTTATTTTAATGTTATTATTCACAAAAACTTTACTCAAATCTAATTATTACCCTTGCTAACAGTTTTGGAATGCTTATTTGGGAGCTTTGTTATGAAAGATTACCTTACAAAGATTGGGATTTTATAGCAATATCAAATCACGTTTTAAGTGGTAAACGAGAAAGGCTTCGACATGGAAAATTCGAAAATCCAATCGATAAAGATATTCAAGAAAAGTTTATGAAAATAGTTGACAAAAGTAAGAAAAAAAATCTATTTGATATTTTACTACACTAGTTTTTAAAACTATTTTTAATTAATTTATAGTATGGCTTCATAAACCATCCCAACGTATGGACGTTGTAACTTTAAATAGGAAACTTGAAAAATTATCTGCAATTTATCAGATTCATCCAAGTGATCAAATGTTGCTAAAGGACAATGTCTTAAATTTTGACGGAACGATTGAGGAAGTCAATCCTATATTTGACTTTATACCACTTGAAAAAGGAATTGAGCTTCACAAAAAGAGAGATCATATGCATGCATGGGAGTGCTTTAAGGAAAATGCAGAACTTGGCAATGTATTAGCGAAATATTGGCAAGGATATTATTTATATTTTGGGTATAACGTTGTCGATATAGATAAAGAGCAGGCAAAGCAATTTTTTAAAGAAGCTGCAGATAATGATTATCCTGATGCTCAGTATCGATATGCTGTCACATTGTATAATGATTTTATAAAGCCAGAAAATTATAATGAAATTTTACATTATTTTAAATTAGCAGCTGACAATAAAAATGTCTATGCAGCGTATCATTTAGGTGATATTTACGTGAATGGAAAGCTCGGAGTGAAAAAAGATGTGGAATTTGGGTTAGAGTATTTAAAATTGGCTGCAGACAATGATCATCCAAATGCTCAGTATCGATATGCGGTCACATTGCTCAATGATTATAAAAAACCGGAAAATTATGATGAAATTTTATATTATTTTAAATTAGCAGCCGAAAATAAAAACGTCGATGCAATGTATTATTTAGGAGATATTTACGTGAATGAAAAACTTGTAATAGAGAAGGACGAGGAAATTGGACTAAAGTATTTAAAATTGGCGGCTGAAAAGGATCATAAAGATGCAATTAACTTATTGAAAGGTTTAGGATTCGATAGAAAAGGGGAAAAAATGATTTAAAATAAACTACATGTCAAATTTTTCAATATGTTAATTTATTATCATATTGTTGTACCTGAAGTTGATCATTGCGCGAATGACCATATTAGGAATAAATGTTACACTGCTTGAAGTTGCAGATCAATCTAATATTCTAGTTCTCTAT